CCCACAGGAGGATGTGTGTAGAAAAATCCAACAGAGGAGGGGGGGCTAAAGGGAGCTGAGAGAGCTGACCGCGAGCCTCCAGCTCCAGTGTCTCTGTCATGCCATGCTGTGACATCTGCCACCTCGTCACACAGAGGTCAGGGGTCAGGGTCAAAACACACCCGATGACAGCAGTCAGGGACACACATGTATGCTGCACACCACATCACTGACACACACACACACACACGCCAAAGCATGTGGCACGAACCGAGTGAGGCAGTAAATTGTAATTACACATGGATACAGGCGCACATTAAATACCCCGAGCATGTATACGCTAGCATCATCAAGCTATTGTTGCCAGACAGCACCTCTGCAGAGTAACATGCAGACAGAATATTAAACAGACAACAACACACAAATAAAAAATGAAGTTAAAAAAAAAAAAACGCAGCTTAGTACGGGGAATTAAATCCACGCTTCACATTTACATCTTCATGAACTGCCTGCATCCTCAGTGCTATCAGTGCTACAATACAGTTTACATGATAAACAGACATATTAGCTGTCAAAAGATCAGGGGAGCTGGATACAGGCGAAAACATGCACAACAGTCTTTGGGATGATGTTCTCTAGGTCTACTCTTCATTTGTATGTGCCAAACATGATCTCATACTCCGCACAAAACTCAGACCTTCCCAATTAACCCTGTTTGTGTCAGCAAGCTCCCGCCTCATTGATTTATATGTTTAGGCCTTGCCCATCTCTTCATAACTATTAGTCTAATATTTTTTAAATGTTGTCAGGGGCACTTGGGGTGCCGTTTGAATCAACTGCATCATCAGCACTCTTTGGGGTAATACCGAATACAGTGGTCCTGCCAAGAATTAAAGTAGACCTTGTGGCCTTCTGATACTACTTCATAGAGTGGTGCAGGAATAAGTCTTGAGTTGAGATAGCATTTTAGCGCTCCCAGTTCCCTCGTCTTGAAGTCAATTGGTTTTTTGAATGGGTTTTTTTTTAGATGCCTGAAATAAGGTCTGTGGTCAACACAAATTTAAGAGACTATGATGTTTTGTTCTACGACATAAAATACACCAGTAAATACCCCACTTGTAAAAGCTTTTATGTTTCTTAAAAAGAGGCGGTTGCTAAAATATGGCTAATAAGACTAGAGGACATCTTCATGCCAAACATGGCTTTACAGCCTCACTGTTATGTAGTTTGTTGATAGGTTTGCCACAGAGCTTATTTTCTGCAATAATCTAAAATCCAATACAAAAATCCCGTAGTCTTTTTGACGAGGGAATCAGGGCGACACTATCCTGTGCGTTGGCCTACAAAAAACATCATCCATCCATTGGAAGTCCAATAAAGCTTGGATGAGAGATGTTTGTCATTTAGTAAATCATAAAAGATTAGATATACATTGCATGGGTCTACAGCAAAATGTTTTCAAATATGACGATCCCTCTGTGATCCTATAAAGACACTGCAGTCCCAGATTGTGCCTTAGTGAAGGTGGTTGTTGCTTTTTATTATTTTTCCTGTTAATCTTGCTTCTTTGATTACTCAGTACTAATCTGTGGCATCAAGAGGAACTATTTTGCAATTTCCCAGAAAGGCAGGGGGTTATATTTTTGCCATATACATTAAAAAGAAAACCCAAGTTGAAACAATTTGAGAGACTGTTTATAACAAAGAAAACACCAATACAAAGAGTTTTAAAAGAAAGTTTTGAAACAGAAATATGACAGAGTTACATGATTCATATTCTGCTCACACAGAACAAAAGTGGCCGAGTCAAAAGTAGAATGAAAAAATATATATATGGCTGTGGACTAGAGCAATTTCAGAAAAATTTCAAGGATTTCAACACTTGAAATGATGATGGCAAAGTGTAAGCATTTTGTGGAAAATTACACCCCCCTCCATGTTCAAAGGCATTTTCAGACAGCCTTTTGAGCTGACATAAGACACTTTTTCAAATTCTGCCTGATTTGTGAAGTGCTTTTAGCAGCAGAAGCACAAGCCAGCTACGACTTCCCAAACCCAACTTTAAGAATAGATGATAAAAATTCACAGGTTGTCTCAGGTAAGAGAGGAAATTGTCAAGAAGTAAACAGTAGTTAAGATGTAGCAAAATACGCTGCCAGAAACAATCGCTTAAAAAAAAAATCAGTCTGTATTCTTCAGTCATATTTTTGAGTAAAAAGGTGACAAACACGATAAACACAGTGTGCAGGGGAAAGAAGAGTGGTGAGTTTCTTTTCAGCACCATGGACAGAGACTCACATACTTACACAGTACAACAGCATCAGCTGCATTAAAAGACAGACATCAGTTTTTGCTCCATATTTCACATTTTACCTGACATAACTGTTAAGTGTAACAGCTTTTATATGCCTGCACCACAAATTAAGGTACTTTAATCAGTTTTGGGAAACCTCTCAGGATCATTTAATCCCACTCTTTTCTAAATGGCTCAGAACGACTCCAGAGGTTTCTATTCAGTCACTAAAAGTATTCTATCTCTGTGGAGATGCCAAGTGTTTCTCTCTTTTCAGCTGTCTTATAATGTTAATATCTGCCTTTAATGTTGACAGTCTTAGGAGCTTCCATTAATCATTTAATTCAAGAGCACAATCAGAGCTGAAATGAGCAACGAGTATATTTCCTTACTCTTTCTGCTCATAATTATTAGAATTAACCGTACAAAGTATGCTGAATTAAATATCAGCAGGTGCTGTTTACAGTGTACCCATGAATGTACAGACAGCTATCATTTGATTACTTTGATGCTTAAAGCTATAGTGCATAACTTCTGTCGCCTCCCAGCGGATAATGCGTTATTACAACTAATAAGCCAGCGGCACTTCCATGTACACAGAGTAACACTCGCCAGTCGGCACACACCGTACACAGAGTAACACTTGCCTTTGTGGTAGGATCCACTTCTGAACTGTGTCTCGGCCACTTCTCCACCATGCTGCTTTCTCTTTCTACCTGCGCTCTACCTCTCCGCTCTTCCTCCCCCTCCCTTCTTGTTGTGAGGAAGCATTTCCTGTGTGCCAGCGCGGAATGTCGCCGGTCGACACGCATACTAAAAATGATATATATTGAAAAATACCGCGAGATGTTAGAGGAGCCAATCGGCTTAATCAGCATTGTGTCATCTCCTCTAGTAGTGGCTTGGCTGAAACGGACATTTACGGACCTGTAGAAGTTACGCACTATAGCTTTAAGATAAAACACTATGACTCTCAGGCAAGTTCTGCAGACATGAGGTGCATCCTCTTTCCATGATTTCTAAACTATTCGCGATGGACATTGAAAGGAAAATAATGATAACCTTGGACAGTGTAAAACAGTAAGTTAACGTACAAAATGTGCAAAAGCTACAACAATGGTAGAGAATTTTCTACTCTACTGACAATGTTAAAGGTGATTTAACAAGTACATGTCGGGGTATCCTACTGGCTCACTGTTATTGTTGCTCTCCACTATCTGACGCTTTAAAGCAGCCGTTCTCAAACTTGTTTCAGTAATGCATCCCCTATAAACAACAACCCTGTAAGTGAAAAACACTGAAATGCAACATTTCAAATGTTTAGAATTCATTACTAAATTCAAGGCAAACCAATTTTTTGTCATCATGCAATAACACTAACACAGCATTTTGACATAAATTTACATTTCTTTAAAGAATCTCACATATATCTTGCAGTACTCCAAAGTACCCCTAGGGGTACACATGCCCCATTTGAGAAACACAGTTTTAAAGGATAGGATCACATTTTTAAGGTTAGTGTTGGTCCCAAAACAATACTCCCACGGCCAAATGTACATTAAAGAGTTTTTTTTTGCTGCTGTAATTGTTTCCCGTAGTCATATCAGTCTCAAAGAGATCCCCTTTTAAAGCAATTTCAATGGAAGTGACAAAAGACAAAACTCTTTACTCTGTAAAAAAAATGAAGCTTCAGCACACGTTGGACAAATCAAGAGGATATCTTCCAAAGTTTCAGTCTTTGTAGGACCAGATTTGTCGACCCTTTGCTTTAGTTCATCAAGCAAACACTGTGGATGGAAGCACTAAGTGGGAATTTGGTACTGAAAAGACTGTGTTGGGAGGAAATTCATTTTAGACTGCTGAAGCCTTTCAACAAACTTTAGAAGTCATTTTCCCACAGCACAAGAGCTGTGAGTTTTGTCACTGTCACTTACATTGAAATCGCTCAAAGGAGGGATCTCTTTGATGCTGGTGTGGACAAGAGGGACGAATTCAGAATCTAATTATCTTTTCAATGCTCATACCAGGCATGTGATTACTGTATTATGATACCTTTGATCAAGTATTAATGTTGTAAAATAGCAGATAACATGTCAGTCATTCACTAACTGCACTTAACATTTTGTTGGCTTAACTCATTTGTGTTACACACCATGTGCTGCTCTATTCTCCCTACTCAACCTCTTCGCCTTCCCACAACCACGCAGGGCATTGAGGTCACAGCACGGCTCTCCCGCTGCTGAACTTTCATTGCACAGCTCACTGGTGCAACAGATTGGGTCGACAGAGACGCTCTGAGAGTGAAAGGACTCACGCAGAGCTGGAACATGCTGCAGTCTGAAGGCAAAATACCATCATTTCACCACGACACCCTTTAACAAAGCTGGAAAGGCTCCAGGCACTAAAGGATGCTTTTCCTGCCTGGTTTGTCTTTTAGCTCAGAAAACATGAGGCCATACAATGTAGAGAGGCAGTAAAACTATACATAATGTGCTCTGATCTATTAAGTTATTGCACTGTTGAGTCCTTTTTGTGTATAAAAATCCCCAAATGTTGATATTGTCTCAGTTTTCCAGAAAATTAATCACATTCTCACACCTTTCCTCTCTGCAAAACAACCAAATTTTTTAAAAAAATCCATGGAAACCCAAAGACTAACACAACAAAATCTCACAGTATCTCAACAGCATACACACAGAGAAACAAACGTGCATAAATGTGAACTTACCTGCTACTTTTTCGCGGCAGAGGTAGATCCTTCTGGTGAGAAAGAGAAAGCAGGATAGAGAAAGAAAAGAGGGGGAGAGCAGATAAATTAGCCTGATTAGATCAGTTTTACACATCATGCAATCTGTTACTGCACAACACATTGTTTACAGAAGTGTAAAAAAGATTATAATGCACCTCGATTGTGCTATAGAAATACAATTAAGCATAATAATGAGGCTGAGTTCAAAACAAACAAATTAAACCTATTATACTGACATGTCTGAGCAGTACTTGATGAAGAACAAGGAATTCAATGAAACAAAATATAATTACTCAACTTTTTCTTATCTATTTAATTTAAAAGTGTTTTCTATTTTCATCTCCTTATATATTTCATTGCTGTTGTTTTTATGCTTTCTTATGAAGCACTTTGTTGTTATTGTATAGACAGGCTGTGTATAAATCAAATTCATTCAAGGTCAAACCTTAGAGTAATACACCCCCCACGTCTGTTTGTACTAGGCATAAATGAATTTCTTGAGTTATTATAAAAGAAATGTTTTTAATAAGCAACATGTACCCACATGCAAAAAAGGCAAACACTACAGGAATGTCAAAAAAAATAAACCTAAAAAAAATCTATCTTTTCCTTTAACGCTCTTGTGACCATTGTAATTCATCTTGGGAACCCCAGCCTTAAAGGTCCAGCATGTAGGATTTAGGAGCATCTATTGGCAGAAATGCTATATAATATTCATAACTTCAGTTTTTTTTAGTTTCTAAAAATAAGAATTATTGTGCTTTTGTTATCTTACAATGAGCCGTTTATATCTACATACGGATCAAGTCCTTTTCCAGAGAGTCCATCATGTTGTTTTACAGTAGCCCAGAATGGACAAATCAAACATTGGCTCATAATAGGGCCATTCACATTTTCGTGTCTTTCACCTAAACGCTTAGCACAGGGGTAAAGTTTCAGCTCTGTAACCTTACTGCTAGATGGCACAAAAGCCTACACACTAGAGCAGTGGTTCCCAACCCTTTTCCTTAAGGGACCCCTTCCTTATCATTAAGTAAACTGACGACTCCTGATCTCCACTCGTCGCTAGACTTATTTATACAATGTAAAATGCCATAGGCTTGTGCAAAAAACATAAGCATGTTGTATTTGTTTGGAAAACGTGCTTAGTACAAGACAGTTGTTTTGTCGGTGAACCTGTGAGTTGTAATGGAGTCAAATTATGTGCCGTTACCTTTGTTAAATGTTGCTGTTGTCCCTGGTTTCATATGAGAAAAGGAAATCTCTGCAAGCCGCTAGGCTAATCTATACAATGTAAAATGCCATAGGCTTGTGCTAATAATGTTAGCATGTTGTATTTGTGGGGAAAATGTGTCCAGATAAAGACAAGTGTTTGTCTGTGAATGCTGCGAGTTAAAAAGAAGCCGATTTGGGTACTTGTGTTTGAAATTGTGGCTATAAAGCTGTGTTTAATGTGTGTTTTGAGTCAACTAAACTTTACAGCACTTCACATAAACCCTTTCGCCAACTAGTGTTTTGGAGGTGTAACTGCAGAGTGACACAGACACCACTGCACAAGTATAAACGCTCACAAAGGCGTAGGCAATGTGTGTATGCTACGGCATAAGGTCTGCCGCACAAGTATAAATCCTGCTTTAATGACATATTATATGGCTATTCCATAATATATTCAGTGAAAACAATAACATAATGCCTACCTACAGGAAGATTGAGTAAAAGGAGCAATTCGGATGAATTCTGAGCAGATGGTTCCTGTGAATACTGCATCAGAGATGAGTTTTCCTTTTATTTGAAAAAAACTTTAAATAGAATTCTCTGTATTATGTGTATTTTTTTCTCATTTTTTAATGATCATACATACTCAAGAAGCTTTTTTTTTTTTTTTTTTAATGTGTTTTTTGTGATTCTAGCTTGTGTTCGGGTCATCACCGTGCCCTTTTCCTGTGAGATCTTGAATATCTTGAATAGTAATTTAAATTTTAAAAATAACAATTTAATTTAGTTTTCTTCCCAGACTTGAATGAAATGCTGGAATGTAGGACTACTGTATTTTTTTTTATTTTTTTTTTAAAGTTTTCTTACACCCCTTAAAATCAAGAGGGACCCTGCACAAAGTTTTGGGGACCCCTAGTGGGGGTCAGGACCCCCAGGTTGGGAACCAGTGCACTAGACCTTAGACTTCATTCATTCATTCATCTTCTAACCGCTTCATCCTCTTGAGGGTCGCGGGGGGCTGGAGCCTATCCCAGCTGACATCGGGTGAGAGGCAGGGTACACCCTGGACAGGTCACCAGACTATCGCAGGGCTGACACATAAAGACAAACAACCACTCACGCTCACATTCACACCTACGGACAATTTAGAGTTATCAATTAACCTAATCCCCAATCTGCATGTCTTTGGACTGTGGGAGGAAGCCGGAGTGCCCGGAGAGAACCCACGCTGACACGGGGAGAACATGCAAACTCCGCACAGAAGGGCTCCCACACCCGGGATCGAACCGGGAACCCTCTTGCTGTGAGGTGACAGTGCTAACCACTACACCACCGTGCCGCCCTTAGACCTTAGACTTCTCCTAAATTTTTTCATTCGTAGCAAGTAATTACATTTAAACCCTAAAGACTGTCTTGTGTCAACAAGTTGTCACCAAGTTAATTATCTTTTGGTACCAACTAAATTATCCTGCATTCACAAGACTTGTGGGACTTTTGGGGCTCTGTACAATTCTGATATTGATAATTGATAATAAATCTGATAATTGTTGCTAAACCATCAAACCTTGCCATATCTATCTACAAAACAGCCATGAGCATGTTGGACCACATTCGGTCATGCTGAATAGTAAAGCAGTCAAGACACCTGTCCTTTTAAATGGCATTATGCCAAGTATCAATTCATCTCCTCATCATAGACATGACACTGAGGTTAATTCTTTTGCTGTGAAATCATTTGCCACTTTGCTTGGAGCCCACTAATAATCATGCATATTAGAGTTTAACTTTTGCACCATCATTAGCATATAGTGGCATCCCACACAGAAAGCAGGGCTCAATGTCTCATGTAAGTGGAAAGCAGTTTGAAAACCGATACCTCTTAAGTGCTCAGAGACTTCAGAGCTTCAGGAACCACCAGGTTGAGTGGAGCCAAAGTCAATTTAAAACATGTTGCTGCTATATTTATGACATTGGGACACGACAGCAAGGGCTCTGATGTGATTAGGATCTGCTGAGAGGAATCTGTTTGGTGCTTGTTGCCCATCTATTCCCAATTTGATTCCATTTAACACTCGGCTAAGGTAAGATCAGGTTACCGTCAATTTCTATTGTCAGCCTGTCCTGCGCTGCTTATCAGGCTATTTTCTGCAGCCCAGTGGCTCCGCTATAAAGATACTATCATTTATCTTTTTTCACTCAGGGATGGCTTAATGACACTGAGCCATGTCTGTGAAATGAAAGGAATCCAAGTGACAAAACACACCAGGGTCAGAGGTTGAAAATAAACACAAACCTCAGAGAAAAATAAGAGACGGTAACTTGTTTTCCAGAGGAGAATTTCATCCTGTTAGATAAGGGCAATCCTGAAATCTCTGTCTCTCTCTCTCTCACACACACACACACACACACACACACACACACACACAGTCTATCTCTTTGTCTTTGTATAAGTAAACAAGCATTAGGAAACCCAACCAAAGCCGAACTGATGAAACATGACTTGACAGCTGGAGCTCTCATCTCCAAACAATCTCAAAACAAGCTAAACTTGCCCGATTTACTTTCCAGCACTGTGACACAGTAATACTTGCACTAAATTAAAAGTCAAGAAAAAAACTATTAAGGGCCAACAACACATTTTAATAAGTTAGAACCCGTTTTCCAAAGGCATGTTGATGAAATCATAATTCTAATCATCCCTCAATTAAACAAGTGCAGTGTAAGTGCAGTAGTAATATAGTAATCACATGAGTAAAGGACTAATGAAACTTGGCAAACACACTGCTGTGCACAGACAGGTATATTAAAGTGGAAACAGATACTTTCGACCAATTAAAACACACCTATGTGATGGGGCTGGCAGCATTTCCCAGTTTAGAGGAGAGTGATTAGTTTTTTTCTCAATGGGAGTGACATCACCCATCATAGTGAGCTCTTTCTGGGACAGCTAATGAGTTACATCATCAAGAGGAAGTGAGCTCGGCCAGGGTGATTCATAGAGAGCCCCGCAGGAGTCTTAAATGTGTGTGTGTGTGTGTGTGTGTGTGTGTGTGTGTATGGGGTGATAGGGGTGGCTAATGGATAAAACCCCAACACCTGCTCCCTCTCACTGTCTCTGTCCAACAGACTTGCTGTTGCCATGTTACTGGTTACTCCGGCATTTCTTTGACCAACAATCTCTCAGTTTCAAGTGACCATGACCACCTGTGAAACCTCTCAGTAATATCCACTTTGCTTCAGGTATAGCAAAGACAATACCTAGATATCCACATCACTACATCAACAATATTTTAAGACAGTATACAGTTAGTTGGTAGATGAGTGATCAGAATGCAACAAGAGTGCAGAGGACAGTTTACATTTTTATATAAGCAACTTGTCAATGTAATCCAAATATAGCAGCCAAATCTCTAGGAAGATATTATGTTTTACTATAACACTGAAAGCGATCTTCTCATGGTTGAAACAGCTGTTTATTTCAGATAAAAAGGGAGATTAATTCCTGTATTGTTATTGATATCATGCCAGGAAGAAACTGTAATGCACAACTAGGTACAAAGCAAAACTAGAATTACCACCAGGCAGTTGTATGTCTCCACAAACCAGTCAAGTTGCAGTTACAGTTTACATCCATGTCTGTCCAGATTCATATGTAGCCAAAACAGTTGACAATGCTTCAAGTATGGATGTTTTTGCAAAGAAGCTACATATTCACCTACATCTTTAACCCAACAGCACAGGAAATCTATACAGTCAGCACAGTTTCAAGATGGACACCCAAGATTAGTGTCACCAA